ACTCAGCATGATCTTTTCCAGCTCCATCCAAGTTGCTGCAAAAGACATGTGTTTCTCTTTTTTGGTTGCTGAGTAATATTCCATTGTATATATGTATCAAGGGCAACAACTTTTAATTCATTTGTCAAGGCCTTGGCGGTGGCTCACTCCAAGACAGGCATCCTTGGAAGGCGGAGTGTAAATCCCCAGCACCTTGGTCATTAGCTCTGGGGTCTAGTTGCCTTTCTGGCCAAGACAGAAAGAGCCCACTCGGTTCCATGCTTATTGCATGGGATGTCTCAAAACACATGCAAATCAAAAATACTGACAGCTGCAGATTTTCAGCAGAATGGATATATGCTTGCCTTTGGAGGAGATGATCTTATAATAGTGCATCTGCCTTTGCCTAAAAATTCTCCTTATCTTGTTTCTCCACTAGCTCCAACTCTAAGTACGTGGAAGCACAATCTGACCACCCACTTTGTCTGGTTTCTTAATTTTAGGTTTAAGATGCTAAATGATGAAAACTCCAGCCATCTCCTATACTTTAACTGTGCTCTCAGGTGGTTTGCTTTAAGAATGGATGTCCTCATGAACATCGTCACCTTCATTGTGGCTCTGTTGGTCACCCTGAGTTTCTCCTCCATCAGTGCCTCATCCAAAGGACTGTCATTGTCTTACATCATCCAGGTAAGGTCTGGTGGGAGAAGAGCTTGGCCTGGAGGCTCTGGCATAGTGGACCAGGATGGGTAGATGCAATAGAACCCAACTCAGTGGGCTTAGGGTATATAGCAAGCTTACGGACTCTGTCATCAAGATGTCTTGTGGTTACGTGGACTACAGGCACAGTTGGATCAAGACCCCTGGCTCTGTACACCTCTTGCAATGGCTTCTTCCCTGGTTATTCAGTGGTGACTGGCAGCTTCTTAGGGCTATGGCTGAAAGAAAGCTGGAGGAGACCATTTCCTGCCCTCGACACAGAATAACAGCCAGCTTTATGCCTCTTGGGTTAATTTAGGCCTCAGGATTAATTAGTGACTGCATGGAATGGGGATAATTGGCTTCGGACAAGGGATGCAGTCATGCCTCATCCCACCACCGGGTCACAGTGGGAGTCCACGTCATCCTACCCCTTCCCTCAGTGGGGAGAGGGAAAAGCTTGCCAGAGAGGCAACCAGTGTGTCTGTGACAAAGTTACTGACTTCTCCTTTTGGCCACTTAGGCATTGAAGCCATTTTCTTTTGAAAAATCGCAACATTAAGGAGATAGTAAATGACAAGATTATAGTAATAACTATAATACTACTCACCGTAGCAAAGCACATGCTGTTTCAGGCACCGTTGTCCGTGACCTCGTTTGTCCGCCCAACAATATGACAGGGCTGGCACCAGAAAGACCAGGTCCCCTGTCCGCCATGTCTGAGAGCCAGGATTCACACCCAGGTTGCCGGGGTCTGTTGCCCACCTGAGTCTGTTCCTTGACATGTGGTTCAAGTTTTTGTCTTGGGGGTTTTTCTATGCTGGTCCTTACCCTTGGCGTTCTGAGACTTGGAGATTGTGTCTGAGTGTGGACTTTTCAAAATGTATTCTGTTCAAGGCCGTGGCTTCCTTCATACAAAAATCAAATCTCTCTTCTGCTCTGAAAAACATCCCTATTTTCTTTTTGCCTCTAAACACCTTCTTCATCTCCTTTTTCCTGTTTTCTCTTTCTGTGACTCATTGGTTGAAGATTGCTTTTCTTGCATTAATTCGCTGTTCTCTTTCTTTTATCTCAAAACGTCCATGTTCTTTTCTTATTTTGTTTCTGGGAACTTTATTTAGCTTTGCCACCCAGCCGTCCCTTTGAAGCTTAAAATCAGTGACTATATTAATATATAATTTCCACAAACCCTTCATCTCTAAGGCTTTAAAAATATTTTTATTATTTAAATTGTTTCAGTGCACAGGCACATTTAATAACAAGCAATATGCTCGGACTAGTGAGAAGAATCAAAGGCAAAAATAAAAAATCATAAAAATCATTCTTTAAAGGGATGTGATATGAAAATATAACTTCTGTGAGGTCACTCATTAGAGGCTTTCCTTTCTCTTAAGCTTTCCCTCTGTATTGCAGCTCGTGGCTTTGTTTTTGTCAGGGTCAGGGATTCTTTTTGTTTGTCCTTTCACGTTGTTGATTTTGTTCACATGTCTCCTACCAATGCCCCACGTCATTCAGGCTTCGCTGCCTCCTTCTGGTAAAGGCCATTTGCTGCTAGAGTTTTCTCACTGGGAGTTTGCCTGGCAGACTTGCCGGGAGCAGCTGGGTTCACACCACGCCTCCTGTCCACATCCTGTCCAGTGCGAGCTGTTGGGCCTGTCAGTATGTGTAGGAGTTAGGGCACCTTCATCATTGGTGTCATGATGCGTGTCGCCAGAGCCCACTTGCGTGTATTTTATTGTTGTGGTTCTTACAGCTGAGTCTTTAAGTTACACTGTTTATAGTTTCTATACTACATATTTTGTTTAGTTGTTTTTGTAGAGAACTTGTAGAGAGATCTACCTTCTTCCTTCACAGGTCACCGTCCGGTTCTGTTGAAGAGCTTCTCCTTTTTCCATTGTAGGACTGTGGCTCCTTTGTCATAAATTAAATATTTATACATGAGTAGACTATTTCTGGGCTTTCAGTTCTTGTCCATTGATCTAGGTGCCTATTTTTATTCTAGCACCATATTGGAATTCAGTGTCTGTTGTTTTATAGTATAATTTAATGTCAGGTAACATGGTGCCGCCATTTCTCTTCTTTTTTTCCCTCAGAGTCACTTTAGCTATTCAGGCCTTTTTTTTTTTTTTTTAAAGATTTATTCATACAGAACTGGGGTACAGGCCTGAGATGCGGAGGGTGAGAGGATTCACCAGAGACAGAGTGGGGAGCAGAACAGGCAGATGGATGAAGTACACTGCTGAGGGAGCAGTGGGCGGGTCAGGAGAGGTCTGCCTTGCCATGTGGATCTCCTCCGGGGCAGGCGGTATTCAAACTCATGCGGAAGTGGCTTTAGCTTCTTAGTGCTGTGCTTTAACCTGCTGCGCCACCAGGGAGGGCCGCTATTCAGGACTTTTTATGGGTCTTTTTCCTTAAAGAATACTGTTGGGGTTTTAATGGAGACTGAGTTTAAATCTATATATCGCTTGTGATAGAACAGTCATTTTGACTATACAGATTCTCCCCATCCATGAGCATGGGATGTCTTTCCACTTCTTTATGTCTTTATTCTCTATATTTTATTATTCTCTATACTTCTTTATTCTCTATATTTTACTAGCATCTTGTAGTTTTCACTAGACAAATCCTTCAATTCCTTAGTAAGGTTAATTCCTAGGTATTTGAATTTTGGGGATGCAATTGTGAGTGCAATTACTTTCTAAATAATGTTTCCGTCTCTCTATAAAAAGAGCAACGGAATTTTGTATGTTGATTTTGAAACTTGCCACTTTGCTGTTAGTTGTTTCTAATAGCTGGTTCTGGTGGAATCATTAGGATTTTCTACATATGGTATGTATTTTCCAGCCTGCATTCTGTTTTATCCCTGTTGTTGTCTCATTACTCTTAATGAAAACCTCTGGTGCTCAGTACCGACAGTGGAATCCTGTCTGACTCCTCATCTTGAAGGACACACTTTCAGTTTTTCACCACTCCATGTTCTGCTGCTGGTTGCCCTAGGCGACCTTTACTATGCTGAGGCTGGTTCCTTCTGTTTCACGTTCTGTCCTGCGTGTTGTCCTGCTAGCCCACTGGAAGGCAGGCAGAGATACTGTCTCTCACATTCACCCTTGGGTAGCCAGCCCTGAACAGTCTCTGGTTCCCAGTCACTGCTGAGCTAATGAAGAAGACCTGGCCCTGCCTGGAGTCCGCAGGAGTCACCCTGTGCCTGAGGGGACCCACCCGCCAGTGCAGGCCAGGCAGCTCCCTACTGCTGTGGAGGTGCTCAGGCTGTCCAAGGCCAAGGTTGGCTGCAGGTGCCCGGAGTCCTCCCAGCCAGGAGTGGCCCCCCGAATCACGGAAGCCTGTGGTAGAGAGGTCCCAGTGTCTCGCGACTCCTCGGGAGTGGCCCATGTGGTCTCCAGGGCCCTGGTGGTCCGCAACTGAATCTCCCAGGAACACGCCTTCCCTTCTTCCTCTTTTCTCCCAGCCACCCGTACTTTCTGGATTCACCCCTCATCACTTGGATTCATTTCTCAGGACTCCTGTAACAAATTACCACAAGCGAGTGGCTTAAAAACTGAGAACAGTATTGCCTTGCTGCTCTGGAGGTCAGAAGCGTGAGGCAGGGTGCTGGCAGTGACTCGTTCCTTCTGAAGGCAGAGTGGATGCTGGTGGCTATGGCCTACCTTGCAGCCACATTGCTCCACTTCATGTCTTCTTTCTCTTTCCTGAGCCTTTCCCCTGTCTCTATGAGGACTGGCAATCCAGGATGACCTCACATGCTTGCTTGTACCCACCAAGGTCCTTTTCCAAAGTGAGCTGATATTCCTGGGTCCCAGAGATGTACATGGAGCATGTCTTTTTGGACAGGCCATTCACTGGAAGGGTGAGGGGCACCATTCAATCAGCCCTAAAATTCTGTTGGCACTTGAATTTCAGTGTTGGCTTCTGGGACACCCTGGCTTGAGGTGGCGCCCTTAGGCTCCACACCCCCAGTCTGAGCCTTGACTGTTCTGTGTCTGAAGCAAGCAGGTGGGCTCGGTAGTCTTCTGGTGCCTTCTTCCTCTGATGATCTGTGGTAATAGGATTCCCACTGCTTGGGAGAGAGTAGAGGCACAGGACCCACCCGTTGGTAGCAGGGCTGGAGACCCAGCTGCCCTGTGACTCAAACCAAGAGGCGCTTGATCAAGTAGCAGGGTGGTGACTGATCCTAGTCATCTGGGAGGCCAGGAAAACAAGTAATTAACCATTTATATCTAAATACAAAGGAAATAGCTAAGAGCAGCACACCCCCAAACAGGACTGTCTCTCCTTCCATGCGCTTGGCTGGGAATGTAGGCCTAGTTTTTGCATGGCCCTGAGTGAGGGGCAGAGGGTGACTCACCAGGGCTGTGTCTGAGGTAGGACGGGAGCCACAGGGGGAGGATGTCACCGCACCTGCCTGTTTCTCCACAGCTGAGCGGGCTGCTCCAAGTGTGTGTGCGAACAGGAAACGAGACCCAGGCCAAGTTCACCTCCGTGGAGCTGCTCAGGGAGTATATTTCGGTGAGAAATCAAGTGTATGGGAGGAGCGGCAGGACGGGTTAGCACTGGCTTTTGGTGTGTTTTCCTGCAAAAGGAGTCTTGTTAAAAACTGAAATCTAACTGCTGAACTGCTCTTTTTAACACCCCTATTGTCATACAATCTGAAGTCCTTGAGGTTGAGTGAGAAGCTCAACCTTTGCACAAAAATTTTCTTCAAATGTTTTTGTACACCAGAAAGAGAATTCAATGGTTTACTTAAGTTTCTAGAAGTAAATATTTGATCGATTAAAATGGTAAATTGAAATAAAAAGTCTATCTCTTCTTAAAAGCCTTCAAGTTCAACTACAAATCTTACCACTCTTGGCAAAGAAGTGTAGTCAATTGTAGCAATCGATTTTTAACGGCCTTTGAATTGTGTTTGGGCCCGTTTGCAAACTTAATTAAACACATTTAAAGCATTTTAAAATTTAATACATCCCATTTTCTTTTTAAGTACCTTGATTATCTGATCCAACAAACTTTCCTGAGGTTACATAAATCTGATTAATTAAACATAGTTTTAAGCTCACATAACAATGCCAATACTGTACATATAACAGTAGCTTCTCAAAGTGGTGTTTAAGTAAATCATTCAGTGATACATTTTAACTTAGAACCACAAGCCCAAATGTTATTAATACTATGACTACTTGAAGCACCAAGTATTCAGATAGTAAGTTTAAGGGAGGGGTGAGAAGATCCACCAGAGTCAGTGGGGAGCAGAACAGACGGATTGATTGAGGGGGACAGCAAGAGAGACAGGAGAGGTCTGCTGCGCCATGTGGGTCAGCTCCCTGGCCAGGGATCGAACTCATCCACAGTGGGGTCGATAGCTTCATAGTGCTGTGACTTAACACCTTGCTTAAATCTCAAGTCTTGATCTAAATCTGTCACAGAGCTTCAAGGTCATGCTGCAGACCTTGGCTAGACCTGCGCAGTGCTGGTGAAACGCTCCTGACAGTCGCGTACCCTGTGTTCACAGAACTCCAGCCACGAGACTGTCTCTCCTCTTCACAGCATCCAAGCTCATCTTCTTGTTAGGGGCTTTGTGCGAGCTCTGGATGCTAATCTTGTACCAGTGCTCACCCTGAGTGTCTCCTTATCATGGATGCCCTCCCCAACCCCTGAGCTGCTTTTATTCCCATAGAGCCCCTGTCCACCATGCACATTCTATGTTCTGTTCTCATACACTCATGTCTGATTTTTCTTGTCCCACTGCCATGTGAGTCTCTGGACTCTAGGCCTTCTTGGTCTAGCTCACCATCAAGAGTGCTTTGGACTTTGAGAATGACATGAACGAAAGAGCAAGTGACAATTGGTTCTTCTGTTTTTCAGGCCTGTATTCCTGAACGCATTCACCCCCTCAAAGTGGGAAGCTGTCCCCAAGACTGGCCCAGTCGAGGGGATATAACATTCAGAAACTATCAGATGAGGTACAGAGACGACACTCCTCTTGTTCTCAACGGGCTGAACTTGAGCATCCAAAGTGGGCAGACGGTGGGGATTGTCGGAAGAACAGGTTCCGGTGAGGACAGGTTCTGATTGGGCTCCTTTCGGGTTGTTTCCTTCGCATTTCCCCCTGGGGGGAGGGGTGCGGGAGGGGTTGCTAAGCCACACTGGAGGGTGGTGTGTGTGTGATGAAATGGCTGGTTTTCTCCCTCAAAAATCTCCTCACTGTAAATAAGGATGTCAGGATGAATGGGTGTGTTGAGTTGGAAACACACACATCCATTTGAGGAAGTAATTTAAATGAGCTGGGGAAAGGACACCCAGAGGCGGAGGGGTGTGCTCCTGTGGGGTGGGCAGGTTAACCCCGCTAGGGCAGCCGAGGCCCCCACAGGGTGAGCCCCGTGGGTCTGCAAGGCCGTCCACAGAAGCCATTTCCACGGTGCTCAAGCTCCCTTCGCCTAGAAGCCCGGATGTGACGCAAGCGCAGACTGCGTGCGAGTCACTGCCCCCGCCTTTGTCCTCCCCAGGGAAGTCCTCTCTGGGCATGGCTTTGTTTCGTCTTGTGGAGCCGGCCGGTGGCACCATCTTCATCGACGAGGTGGACATCTGTACCGTGGACTTGGAAGACCTCCGAACCAAGCTGACTGTGATCCCCCAGGACCCTGTCCTGTTTGTAGGTACAGTAAGGTAGCTGCTTTGATCGTTGTGCATTCCTATTTTCGATAGCGGAATCAGATTGGCCAGGAACTCTGTGCCACTCTGGCTGGCCTGGGGCTGTGCTGTCGAGGGGAGAGCCTGCCTGTGCCAGCCTGGGAGGAGCTGGGGCAGCGGTCCTGAGTGTTACTTGTAGTTTATGAAGCACATTTCTAGCAAGCAAGATGTTCACACAGGATGAGCAAGTGTCCCGGTTGGCTCTGGAAAGTCCTGGTTTACAGCCCACCAGGTTTAGCGATGGCCACTCTGAAAAGGTCTGCAGTTTGTACAAATGGTGAAACATTCCTGCAGGGCTCAAGTTCTGGTGTCAGGGCACAAGGGACAATCACTTTTGCACTTGGTCCAGTGCAGTGACTGCCCCTCTGATGGGCATTTCTCCCTCAACACCAAAACAAATGAAGGAGGGGGCTTATCTACAGTTGCATGAGAAATACCTTCTGCTTCTCACTTTCTGCAAGTCCCTGGCAGCTACCGATCTACCTCTTGATGGTTGAGAGGGATTCGAATGGTAGATTGAATCCCTCCCTCTCTTACTCTCTCTGGCAAGAATTTGCAAAAGGGCAAATTCACGTGGCCACTGAGAGGATCAGATGCACCATCCAAGCACACAGCTTAGCTCGCCTCTGGCGGGTGTCACAGTTGTCTGCCTGCCTCTGTGGTCTCTGCTTCATCACAGTACTGAGGGACCCTTCTCATGGCCTGAGGGTGCTATTGTATGGACCGTTGTCCTGGGCTGGGCTCTGATCTTGGAGCCAGGCCTGGGATCACCACACCCCACCCCTGCCGCCCTCCCTACATACTCGGATGCCTGCTAGCCTATCCTCTTGGCCTCAGAAATCCAGCTTCATCTCCTTTTATTCTTTGCAGGTACAACCTGGACCCCTTTGGGAATTACACGGATGAGATGCTTTGGCAGGTCCTGGAGAGAACATTCATGAGAGACACAGTAGGTCTCTGGGGCGGTCCAGCATGAATCCACTTCCCAGCACCAGGGCTCCAGATACCTGGCCCAGGTTTGAGTTCAATAAGCACCTTGGCCAGGTTTATTTGCAGGCACCAGACAAATGTAGGGGAACATGATCCTTACTGACAATTAGTAGAGGCGACAGTGGATAACATTTACTCAACCTCTGCCATTTCCTGGCCTGAGAGCCACACACGTCATCTTACCCGGCTCTCTCTAGCCCTCTGAGGTTGGTACACCCTCTTTTAGGGGTGCGGATATTAAGACTCAGGAAAATACACGCACAGGCTAGCGAGTGGCCAAGTGGAGAGCTGAGCCCCTGTCCGTCTGCCCTGCAGCGGATGAGTGCCCCCCAGCTCTGGCCAGGGCCTAACTGGCTTACCAGATGCCACAGGAGGTGAGGGGCCGTGGCTTCCTCAGGGAGTGGCTGGAGGGACTGAGCTCCCTGTGAGCTCAGCTTTGCCTATAAGAGCCGCACCTGGGTCAGCAGGTGAGCGTGGCCGCCTCTGCAGCCCCAAGGGGATTTTTGCCACAGGCCCTGCATTGGTGCCCAGGTGAGCCTCTCCCATGGTCGCTTAGACTTATGCTGCCACACCAGCCCCTTCTTTCCTTGTTGACCAGAGGACTCGCCCTCCCATCACTGTCCTGCCCACGGATATGGGACCCCAGGGGCCCTTCCTGCTGTGTGTGTTTGCCCGGAGCCCCACGCGCATCCATTGTGCTCGCTTGGCGTGGTGTCGGCGGGATTCGTGATTCCTACTGTGATTTCAAATTATCAGTGTCTGCCTACTCCCTGGTCTTTCCCTGGTGCCTGTTTGCAATATTGCAATGATTGTTGTTTTGCCCTTTCTTTTCCACAGTAAAATAAAACCTGCTGATGAATGCAAGAGAAGGGGGTAATCAATACAGGCAATGTGGGACAGTTTTATAGATCATCAGCATAAATGTGGCATTTTCTGTGTTTTATAGATAATGAAACTCCCGGAAAAATTACAGGCAGAAGTCACAGAAAATGGAGAAAACTTCTCAGTGGGGGAGCGTCAGCTGCTTTGTATGGCCCGAGCGCTTCTCCGTAATTCAAAAGTAAGGAAACAGCACGGAGAATGGATTGGTCAAATTTGGATGTGTCCCGTGGCACCGCTCAATCCAGGAGGTAGAGCCACGTGTCTGTCTTTCAGCAAAGAGAGAGCAATTGAGCCATTTAAGAACTGATCGTTTTTTTCTTAAGACAAAGATGTGAGGGGTAAAAATTGAAAAATAACAGCCATTTATAGCAATAGCACCTGCCTCCCCCGGGCCTCCCCCTGGGAGGGCTCGCTTGCACATTCTCTCTGTCCTCCTAAGTGGTTTGAGTTTGAGAAATCTGCCTCTCCACTTTCTTCCCTTTGTCCCTGAACAATTCCTTGTTCTGATAAACAATACCCAGGACAGGAAGGGAGCCCTTGAGAAGGCTGGAGACGAGAGTCATAAAATTCTACTCATTTTTCTCTGAGACTGGATTTCAAGGACCGGATGCCTGCTTTAGAAACCCCACTTGGAGCAGAACCCCCTGTATGCATGCTGGTGGCAGCTCCCAGCATGAAGGAGACCCAGACTCATCAGGCCCCACGGTGGTACCGCAGGTGACAGGTAGTTTATGTGTTGTCTCAGCAGTTCATGCTTGTAGCAAAAAAACCCCTTTGTAAAGGGCAAAATCTCCTTTACAGATGAGGAAACGGAACATTGGGGGAAGGTAGGTAATACGAAAGTCAAACAGAGTCAGAGCTGAGAGCTCAAGCCCTCTGATTTGGAAACTGCTTCTATGGTTAGCAAAATATTGCCCTTCCGAAGACATCCGGGCTCTGATAGCCCAAAGCTGTGGCTGTGTCTCCCACAGGGGAAGGGGGCATTACAGGTGGAAGAAGGTGAAGGTTCTCTAGATGGGGAGACCCAGGTCTTTATGTGTTGGGAGTGACCAAACGCGGAGGTTTACTGAGGGACTGGATAAGGGCAGTAATAAATCAGGCCTTCCATCCAAAGGTGATAAGGCGGTAACAAACTGGACCTTGCATGTAATTAACCGGGACCCTGAATCTGGGATGGGACTAGCTGAAGGTGATAACAAACGGGGCCTCACATCCAAGTTTGATAACGAACTGGGCCTTACATCAAAGGACACAGCGATGAGTCACCCCTTTGGAATGTGAACCTAGGATCTATATGAGACCCTTCCTCCCTATAGGGTTGGCAGTAGCTGCAGACCCCGCCCTAGGGGCTCCGTTTCAGCTGCTGTCCAGGAGCAACGAACTCTGCTTGCTCAGCCTTTCTGCCTCCTGCCTTCCTTTCTTGCGCCTGTCACAGAAGTTGGGACAAAACATTATGGAGCAGCACAGGAGTGTCAGAGGGCTGAGGGCACGATAGAACTAGGTGCTAGAGCAATGCCAGAAGGGACTATGAGCCAAAGCATCAGGCAGCCTCTAAAAACTTGAAAAAGCAAGGAAACAGCTTCTTCCCTAGAACCTGCAAAAGGAATGTGTCCTGACAATACCTCAACCCCAGGGCAAGATGGCAAATTTCTGTTGTGCTGAATGAACCCCTAAGTTTGAGCTAATTTGTTGTAGCAGCAGTGGACGTGAATAATTGTGCTGCTTCAGCTTAGCACAGTACACAAAAAGCATAACTCCTACTAGTTTATGGGATTAGAATGAGCCACTAAAGAAGGGAAGCAAAGACCATACAACTTTATTCCCCCAGCAAGTCCTTTCAAGAAGGAGGAAAGCTCATGAGTTCTCAGTCTTTCTAATTGCTTTTTGTAATTAATGGTGGTAAGACTACAAATTTCCCTCTGGGCACAGCTTTGGCTTTGTGTGACTTTTGACAGCATCCCTCCCTGCAGATCATTCTCCTCGATGAAGCCACCGCCTCCATGGACTCCAAGACTGACAGCCTGGTTCAGAGCACTATCAAAGACGCCTTCAAAGGCTGCACAGTGTTGACTATCGCCCACCGCCTCAACACGGTCCTCAATTGTGACCTCGTCCTGGTCATGGCAAATGGGAAGGTCGGTCCTCCCTCCCCAGGTGCTGTGACGGCTTGGGATCTGTGGGGGGTGGCTATTCCGATAACTTCTGCTCTTCCTCTGTCTTAGGTGGTGGAGTTTGACAAGCCTGAAGTTCTTGCAGAGAAGCCCGATTCTGCATTTGCAATGTTGCTAGCTGCAGAAAACAAAAGTCAGATTCTCAAGACTGTATCAGCTGATTTTTGAGGGAGAGGATGCATGAAATGAGTGGACTGAGCTGGGGTGGGGAGGGGCCATCAGCCAGCAGGCGGCCCTGTCCATTGTACCCAGCTCTCACTGATGCAGCCCTGGGAGCTGTAGCTTCCTGCCAGCTCCAGCCCTTGCCACTTGGCCTCACCTGGTGGGCTTGGGGTTGGTCCTGGGTGATGACCAGATGTGGCTGAGGCTGGTGGACTTCCCCTCACTCCTGAAACCCCATGGGTCCCTCCTGTATCCCCATCAGGGCCGGAGAAGAGAAACATTTGACGTTCAGTTAAAACCTGTCAAAGTAAACTGAACGGAAAATGCCCAAGGATGGAGTTGGCAAGGTTTCTTGTCCTGTTATCGAAAAGAAAAGAGCAGAGTTTTCTTCCTGTTTAGCTCCTGTTCACTTTCACTGTGTGTGTGACAAGCAGTAACAACACGGGTCTGTAGCATGAAAGAATGATTACAGTGTTTGGGGAAAAAAATTTAAAAATCATCTTGTATGTTCTTTTTGATCTATTAGACTAAGCAAGGAAACAAAATGTTGGCAGTGGAAAATAAAATGACATCTTTATATCTTCTATATTTATCATTAAAATGTCGTAGGAAATTAAACTGCTGAAATGTTGCCTTGCAATTATTTTACTGAAGATACTCCAATTTCTGTTCTGCTTCCTTTCACCGACTCTCACTGCTTTCTTCACTGACTTAGCAATCTCTCCCAAAGTGTTTCCCCAATAAAAGCCTTTCCTTTCAACCTCAAGCTTTGCTATGCCACGACAGTAAAGATGTATTCCCAAGAGCATGGGAGTGAGCGCTAGTAATCATGGCGGCATTTGAAAAAGAAAGAAATTTCTATGGATTCTTGTGCAGTGTTTGCTAAGGGTGTCCCCCAAGCCTGCTGTTGTTGGTTCCTGGACTGACCTCCCAGCCTGCAGGCTGAGCTCGGGGTAGTTGCTCCAGGAGGCAGCCAGACCTGGCAGTCCTCACTGGATGCAGAAACCCAGGCCAGCTGGAGGTGCCTTATTTCCCATCATTGCATCACCAGTCAGACTGTCCATGATTTCAGGAAGGTGTTTCCTGAGGATGGGACAGCAAGGCAACCAGGATCTTTGTGGCTCATTCAGACCCATCACCCCCTCCAGCTGCTTCAGCCCTCACTGCCTGGGCTTGTCCTGTCCAGAAGAGCCTATCCAGGCCCGTGGTGACAGCAGGAGAGCCCCCATGATATGACAGGCTAAGTGAAGACTTGCCTCTTTATGAGAATAATTTCACTGAGACTTCACATCTCCTCATGAGATGGGCACTTTCATTATCCCCATTTTACAGAGGTGGAAACCGAAGCTCCTTGAAGATAGTAACTTACTATGTGTGCACAGGAAAGGGACCTTGGAGCCAGGGTTCAACCTGTAACCTGCCTGCCTCTAGGGTCTCTAACCCGGTCACGGCAAGCCCACCTGCACACCCCCACCTGTGCTTGTTGCAGGCACAGTGATGATCATCAGCACCACACCCGGGAGAACAACTTCTAGAGGGATGGCTGGTGTTTGTTTATGCAAAGACACGGGATAGTCTCAGGGTGCACCCCTCACTGAAACGTCAGCGAGGAGACACTATATTGAGTAATAATTCGCAATGTTTAGCCAGTGTTCCTCAAAACAGGCTTAGTCATCAGATCTTTCCCATATCCTTATGGGGCGGCATCACTGTTCTCCTTATATGATGGATGAGGAAAGTGAGGCACTTGAGAGATGCCACATAGTCAGTGAAGCTTGAGCCCGGGCAGATGACACTGAATGGCATGTTCCTTGATTCCACACACGGCCACTGGAAACTTGTGATTCTCCAGCTGGGAAAAAGCTCTGTATTCGGAGTAAATTCTGTGTGTTGGTCAGGATAAACCCAGCTATGCCACAGTAAGCAACAAGTAGCGCCAGTGTTTATGACTTAGTCATGCTTGTGCTGCTTCTGATGCCCTTCACTTGGCCACCCTGGCTGGCGGGCAGTAATAAGACATGGCAGCAATAAATGACGTAACCACTTCACGTACATTTCATGGACCAAAGTAAAAATCACATGGTCACTCCTGAGTGTAGTCGAGGGCGGCGTGTACTCTGCTTTCAGGGAGGGTCACCGTGAGGGATGCCAAGCTTGTGGCTACAGGAAGTTGTATACCTCTTTGAAAGGGTAGTGTAACAGGTACAGGTTTCATGGACTCCGCCCCCACTCCAGATGCTGGAACTCCAAATCCCATCAGTACCAAGAAGAAGCATGCTGGGATGTGAGAGTGGAGCTGAGCAGCCAGGTTGGGATAAAACCGGACATGTGGGCTCTGGGGGGCTCTTGGCCTGGTGGTTCTCGGCTGATCGTTTTGGCGCTCACTCGGTTTTCAGCGTGCCGGTGGAGTCCACGTCAGCAGAACTGGTAGGACATCCTAGTTAACCTGTGTTTCTCTCCCTCTTTCCCTGGGTTATTCCTTTACCTTTCTCCTTATAAATAAATCCATTATTTAACCTTTTGAGTGTGTCCATAATACGATTGAATCGTAAGCGCACGGGTGAAGGAAGACCCACAGACAGGCAACCCAATTCACATTGGGGTGCCCTATAACAGTAGCGGCGGGTTTGAGATACACTACAGCCCACTGCAACCTGGTTTATGTCTTGGTTTTGGCACTGAGTGGCTGTGTGATCTGGGAAAATGCTTTGCCCTCTCTGATTCTCCATTCACTCATCTGTAAAATTTGGGATGTGGCTCATGTGCACAGCTCCTTTTCAATCCTGCATGTCATTATTGGAGACACAAAAGAAGATAGGAAAATGGTTTCTGAAGTATCAAGAGTGACATTCGGGTTTTCAGGGGGATTAAATTGAACACTAGATGTACCTATTTTTATAAATGCTGTATCTGTAAAGTAAGCTGAACAAAGATGATTTTTTTCTTTTTTTAATAAGTTGAACAAAGTTTAGTCAAGATCTGAATTTTCCCTTTGTGCTTCTTTTGATGATCATACGTCCTTGAGATTTTATCTTGGTGCCCCAGTTTTGCTGTGCTCTGTTCATCTGAGTGATCTTGTGAACCATGTCATCAGTCAGAACCTGTCTGGATAGGGCCCTCCCCGGTGGTGCAACAGGTAAAGCGCAGCACTATGAAGCTGGCCTCAACCTCCTCAGCACCAGTTTGATCCCCGGCCACGGAGGTGACCCACATGGCACAGCAGACCTCTCCTGACTCCCCACTGCTCCCCTCAGCAGCGAGCTTCATCAGTCTGCCTGCTCCCCACTCTGTCTCTGGTGCAGCCTCTCATCCTCCACACTGCTGGCCTGTACCCCAGTTCTACATCCATGAATAAATCTTCAAAAAAAAAAAAAAACTCTCTGGTTAGATGCCACAGACTAGACAAGTCACTTAGAGCATTGTTATGATAAATCAGCAACACACTGTTTCACTATCAACTGCCCTTTTAGATTCCTGAAAGCAATTCTGAAGATAGCAGAGGTGGGCAAACTGTAAGCCATGAGCCAAACCCAGCTTGTTGCCTGGCTTTACACATAAAGGTTTCCAGATATTACAAATTAGACGGAGAAGCAGTCCTTCTCATTTGCTCATGCTGTCCCCTGGCTGCCGTCACATTCCAGGGGCAGAGTGGAGTGGTAGCTATCAAACACACATTCTCAAAGCCAAAAACCTTTATTTCCCCTGACTTTACAGAAGTTTGCTGACGTTGGCTGGTGATGCAATTCTGGTTGATGAGACACTGAGACAACCTTTGCCTCCCACTTTTGTGCTGGGTGAAGTTTGGGCAGCTGCTGACTAAGGGGTGCCCTCGCTGTGACACAGAACTGCTGGTTTACCGACCCTGGACACCCACCTCTCACCAGGGGAAGGGTGCTATTTCCGGTTGTGTAAGCCAGCTTGAGCTGACTTGCTGTGATGTGTGGCCCACCCTGCGGCCACACCCCTCTTCTTCCTCCTTTGATGTGGCCTGATGCACAGCAGCTGACATCCAAGCAAGGGCGGTGTGTGTGGGGGGGTCCCCTCCTTTTCTCCCCCACAGCGTCTTGCCTTTTATGAACATTTCTCTCACCTTCCCTCCCTGCTGCCGGAGATCAGAAGGACTCCAAGAGAGCTCACAGATTTTATTCTCACTATTCAAGCAACCAGATCTGAGACAGGCCCAGATTTGTTGGCAAAAATGTGAAATATTCTTTGCTAAGGGCTGGAATCACTTTGGCTAGAACAGCAGGATTCAAAATGAATTGAAAAATGCAGGAGGTCAGTTTGGGGTCAGATGGACCATCAAAGAAATCACTTTTCTTTTGGCCCTGAGTAGAAGGTCACCTCTGACTGAGGCTAAATTGAGCACTAAAACCTTCAAATAAATGCTGATTTCCATGGCGAGGGTCTGCCTGACTTCATGATGTGCCTGCTCCTGGCTCCTGCTGAAAGCTTTCGCTGGTGGGACCGGCATTGAAAGGTCAGGCTGGGGGTGTTTGTCTGGCTTCTCAGCCTCCTTCACCTGGTAAAATCACACCCAAAGAAACCTCAATTTGCTGTGTGGCAGTTGTTTTACGTTTCCTATTATATTAGGCCCTCCCCAGCAGCGCAGCAGATTAAAGCACAGCACTGAGAAGCTAAAGCCACTTCAGCATGAGTTCGATCCTCGCCTGCCCCGGAGGGGACCCACCTGGTGCGGCAGACCTCTCCTGATCCGCCCGCTGCTCCCCTCAGCAGTGTACTTCTTCAGTAGGCCTGTTCTGCTCCCCACTCTGTCTCTGGTGAATCCTCTCACTGCCCCTGCACCTCTGGCCTGTACCCAGCTCTGTAAGTGTAAATAAACAAATCTTAAAATTATTATATTAAGATGCATACAACACAGAATTTGCCATCTTAACCACTTTTAGCACTAAGGACCTCACAACCAGCACTGCCACCTATTTTTTCTTAATTATTTTCTTACACTGTTGTTCATTTTAGTACAATATTTAACCTCTCCCCTCAGG